CTATAATATGAATCAAAAATCTCATTTTTTGTTGAAAGGTCCCCAAAACCCATTTTTAATAGCAAAGCTCCCATATAGTAAAAATAAAAATATAAGGTGTAACATAAGGTTATAAATAACACATATAATATAAATATATAAAATATATAAATCTAATGATGAATACAATAGTAATATATAATAAATTTCTCTTATATATTATAAAGAAAAAGCTAGTAATATACCAATAGATATATGTATTCTACCCTATTAATCATTTGACCTGTATATACATACAGTTAAACCTTGATATACTGAATTCTTAATATAGCGAATTTTTAAATCAAATATATTAAAATTACTTTACTATAGTAAACTAGCCAATTAAATTCTTTAAAAAATTCGTTATAAGTTTTTAACGAAGTTGATATCCAGATGCTATAATTTATTATATGAAAATCTAAATTTTGGTTAATATTTATATTATTAGACCACTTGGTTACTCTTGATTATGTGCACAAATTTGGCTTAATAATAAAAATTAACAAAAATTTTGGATTGTCCTTTTCTATTGACTGCCTCCTATATCAAGAGTTTATTGTATTACCTATCTACTAATCATGTGATCTGTATATCGTGTAAAATAAACACTTTATTTGTGATTAATTTTATGATTTTATAATTTTCATTTTTCTCTTCTTTGATTCCTAAAAATATTTATGAAGCAATTAAAATAAAGTAAGCTACGTAAAATTTTATTGCTTCTGATATTTAGCTAACTATAATTTATTTAGATGAACGATTTTTATGAAAATGATTTACTTGAACTATTTGACGCTGATATAAAATCTGATAAACCTGATGACAGTCTATTAAAGAAAATATATACTAAACAAACATTTACATCTTTTGAAGTACTTAAAAAATATTTGAACTGATATGCTATCCAAATAGGCTTTAAAATTAGAGTAGTTAGATCAGAAAAAGGAGGAGAAATATAGTCCAGAAAAACATATAAATGTCATTATGGAGATAAATATATATCCAAGAAAAGGGTAGATCCTACATTTAACCATAACAAGGAATCAGCTCAAATAGAATGTGGATTCCTGATAAATACATTATATTGTAAACTTTCAAATTTAGTATTTATTAATAAATTTGTTAGTGATCATAATTATGCATTACAAGATATGACTTTATTTCAAGAGTTTTCACCAGTAATACAAAAGATTCCAGATAATATTATGGAGGAAATTCAATTTTATGTTAAAGAGTGCAATT